TTCATCCACAGTTGGCCATTTTAGCTATCAGGCAATACGTTTTAAAAATAAGAATTTTCCTCTCTGTAATATGAAAGTCTCTGTTAATTGAACAAATTCAATCAGCAAACCTGAAGACTAGCCAAAGCTTGCATGAAAATGAAAAGGACTCAGATAAGACAAACAATCCAACACAACTCCTGTTTCTACATGAAGAATTTACTGCCAGTCTAAATGTCAGCACTCAGGGGCACACAGAGATTGTGAAAAAGCTGTGATTGCTCCACACATACAATTTAAGCAGGTTCTTCTTCTTGCTGTTACCTCTGCACCTTCCCCATGACATGATTTACAGCTAGTCTGACGAAGATCAGCCAGCTATGGCCGAGATACAGAAACAATCTGGCCCATGGCTAAGGAGCACTGAGCACCTCCAAAACCTGTTCTGCGTTAACCTCTGTGCCTACTGATGGATTTCAGTGCCCCGGGCTTCAACTGATCAAGGGTCTGTCAATACTTCCCTGGAAACAGCCTCCCGTCCTGCAGCACAAGGGTTCATTTGAAAGACCTTGTGTTGATTGCTAACATGTGTCCTCACTTACAATATTTTATTTCATGGTGAAATTCAGACGCAGTTATGATTTTAAAACACTGTAGCTAGCGGTGTATTTGAATGGATAAGCAGACTAAGCATAGTTAAAAGTCCCACTGGGAAGTCTTAAAAAGACTAATTTTTGAATATGCAAACACTTTCATGTCACTCAATCCTGATAAACTCCAGTTGCAGGAGCCCACAAGATGAAGGCAATCTGATACTAAACAAAGCCAGTAACTGCAAGAATAGTAACTTAGAAAGGATTTATATTGAGGAATTTATCCTGTGCAGGTTTCCTTTCGAACACACTGCTGCTTGGGCTCTCCTTCTTTTCCACAGACATTGTATATTGTTCTTTTGCGACCACTTTACTCCTCTATAGTAGTTTTAGACATCTGCATTAAACTACCCTACGTATTCCCATCTTTTTTTTAACTAAGTTGTGTAAGTAGAAGAAAAGGAAACTATTTCTCCTGACATACACAAAGTCACACAAATAAAAACACTGTTACCGCTGAAAGGAAGAACTGGCCGCTTACTTTGTTTGCATTTAGAAAGTTTATCACAACTAAAAATACAAATTGCCTGGTAGTACTAAAGAGATGTTAGTGGCAATGCATAGGATTTGCAAAATTATTTCACTCTAGCTTAATGCTGCAATCAATAGTAAAAGGGCTATCAGTAGCTTGAAAGGGTAGGGGGTGATTCCAGACATAGCCTTCACTAGGAATGCAGGCCAACATGGAGCATTTGGAGCAAACACCCCTCAGAAAGATTTATTATTAAAGTCAGGACACAAAACCAGTTTGGTTATTGACAGCCAGGGTGTGTGTCCTACATACTGCTGTGCACAGTGGGGGTCACACCCTAACCCAGCTGCACACTTGGATTGAGCAGCTCTTCCAGTGCTCTCATCCTTGCCCTTGCTGTCATATTATTCTAAGTATTATGGATGATAAACCAGGGGCTGCTAAGCCCTAACTGAGCCTTCCACTATCACTAAACTGACTTCACTGAGATTGGAGGAGAAAAAAATCAGACCTACACCATCAGGCAATGCGGCAAGAGGCAGGGGATGGCACAAATATGGCAAAACATGGCAGCTTCTCCTCAGTGTGAGAGTTGCCAGAAAGCCCCGCAACCCAAGAGGGGATGTGCGTCCAGCATCTCTTCAGGGCAGGAGACTGAGAAGGACTGATTGCAAAACTTAAGATCACAGAGTCCCTGTCAGTACCCCTGCCCCTGGATGTCAGCAGATTAAATAAATATGGCCACAAAGGTCTGCAGGTTAAATGGAAAGACGTTAAGTGCCTCGGAAGGCTAGAGAGGGGTAGGTTTGCTCCTTTGAAATCTATATGTTTAAATTTTACTTCCTCTCTCGTTAGCCTGATTTGAGACCACCACCACAGTGCTATTTTCTCATTTGGCCAAATGCACATAGACCATTTTCAGAAATGGTTTTTGTCCTTGAGAACAGACACACAGCATCTTTTCATGGTACCTGCAGCTCACAGAGATCACACACAGCTTTAGAAGCTGTACATCTGTGTACAGTAGCAACAGCTGCTGCCTTTGTCAGGGAAAAGGGATGCTGGAGTGCAGGAAGCCCAGAGAATGTGCTGCCAACAGCTCCTTGCCACCCTGCCCCATGTTCTACCATCTCTCCAGCAGCTCCCAGCTTGCTGGAATTGAAAGCATAGCTGTTGCATCACACTGTAACCGAACAGATACGGATTTTTACACAGTCTTTATATATCTTTAAAGAGTGTATTTCTGGAATGCTTATGGCATATCCATTCTAGTAATGAGACTGGAAGATAAGCTATTTGCTCCCACACTCATAGTAAATTTAATTCATGGGAAAGTGCTGCAACTTGATACCTTGCCAGTCTTACATAATACATCTTTGTAGCCCCTCCCCCCCTCAAGGACCAATCACTACTCAGACACCACAGCAGGGACCCTTACAGGGTGAATGGAGAATCCTACTTTACAGACCTGCAGGAACAGCCCTGATGGACAGGTAGGTTTGCCCAAGGGAACCCAAATTTTAGGGTACAGGCTTCAGGAGGAGCTTCCCATTGGGCACAGTTAAATGCTTGCAGAGAAGGGAGAGGCTGCAGCCCCCATGCCTACCTGCCTCTCCCCCTCCTGGGGTGGCACAGCTGTAGGGGCTCCCGGTATCCAGACCATCATTTCCCAGCAGTTTCCAGGCTAATGAGTCTTAAACAAAAGATTCAGCTGCCCAACAGGCTGGTGGCTAAAACAGAGCCATCAGCAGCCTAAATACGCACCAGGCTCCTTTTATAGTTAGCAGAGACTGAGTAAATATAGTCAGGGGAATTCTGAGAGTGATTCATCTTGACCCAGACAGAAGTGTCCAAAAGCATGTACAAAAAGCAAAGTGCTTGCCAAGAGGTCAGGCCAGCAGAAATTATGCTTGTCCTCACAGCCTCTGCGTAACTCGTGTAGCTATGGCATAAAGATGTAATTATGTTTCTTCTCAGACTTCTGTTTAATTTTGCAAAGAGGGCCCCAGCAGCTAAACGGAACAAAACAGATGAAGGGGATCAGACCTCACCCTTCACGTCCAGGCTGCATTCCCGACTTCACAAAGGGAGATGGAACACACCTCAGCGTGCAGACTCTGCAGACAGTGTACACACAAGGCTCTGCCCTGCTGACAGAGCTCTGAAACTGCACCAGGGTGCTGGGTAAGGTCTAGCAAGCTATGGCACAGACAGGCATCACTTCAGTTTTTTAGGAAGCTCATAGCAACCTAGAAAAAGAAAAGAGTGGGAAATCATAGAATCGTTAACTATGGAAAAGCTCTCTAAAATGCACAGAGTCCAATCATTAATCTAGAACTACCACATTCACCACTAAACCATGTCCCTGAGTGCCACATAAGCACAGTTTTTAAACTCTTTACAGTGATGTAGATTCCACTGCTTCCCTGGGCAGCCCATTCCAATGACTCACCACTCTCTCAGGAACAAATTTTTCCTGATGTGCAATCTAAACCTCCTCTGGCCATTTCCTCTTGTCCTGTCAGATGTTACCTGGGAGAAAAGACAGATCCCTACCTTTATACAACCTCCTTTCAGGTAATTTCAGAGAGCAATAAGATCCCCCTTGGACTCCTCCAGACTAAACACTCCCAGCTCCCTCAGCTGCTCCTCATTAGACTCATGCTCCAGACCCTTTCCTGGTTCTGCCGTCCTTCTCTGGACACGGTCCAGCACCTCAGTGTCTTTCTTGCAGGGAAGGCCCCAGAGCTGGACACAGCACTCAAGGTGCAGCCTCACCATTGCTGAGTACAGAAAATCACTGCCCTGGCCCTGCTCGCCACACTGTTGCTGACCCAGGCCAGGATGCCTGTGCCCTTCTTGGCCACCTGGGCACACGCTGTCTCATGTTCAGCTGCTGTCTCCCAGCATCTCAGGTTCTTTTCTCGCAGTTTTCCAGCCACTCAAGTTCTGCAAAGGAACTTTCCCCATCAGAATCTATTATCTTTGTTTTTTCTAATGTCTTGCTTTATTGAGCATATTTAGCTCTAGCACAGGACACATTTAGATTTGGCCATGAGGACTGCAGTCAATCTCACTTTACAATATGCCTTGGGTATTCTGGGGAAGAGAGGAGGGGATTTTTTTATGTAGGTTCACAAATGCTGCCTGAAAGACCTGCTAGAAGAGCCCTTTGCCTCTCTCCACTGGTGAAGCCCAGCACTGACTTCACTCAAAAGAGCCATCACTCACACCACCCCTCTGACTCTCCTCCAGGCAAGCATCAGGGAAAAAAAAAGGGCATTTCCAACCTTACTGTATGAACACAAAGAAAGCAGGTAAACATTCTAAAATTTAAGATTGGGCAGAGAAATGAGTAAGAGGTGCAGCAGCCAGGGAGTGACTAAGAACTACTTTACAAATAATCAGGCTGAAGCTACTGGACATGTAGGCTGGGGCCCAAGCCACCTGAAAGTCATCAAAACTGTGCCCTTTTGAGATGCTTCAGCTATGTGAAAGCATAGGCTGAGTATCCTCTCCAGAGGATGGTGTAGAAGCACGGAGGTGTAGAAATAGAAGGAATAAGGCTGGGAGCCAAACTGGGGCATAGGAGGTGTGGAAGGAGGGAGGATAAGGCACTTTGCTACATGTCAAATTAGGAATGTGGCTCACAAGGCCTGTTTGGGTTTAGAGTTGCACAAGAGGTTAGGAACACCACCTTCAAAAAAAGGTCTACAAAACATGCAATATGTGAACAACTGCCAGTTGTGTTGCCACAGAACACCCAGCTAAGAAGGGGTTCACTTGAGTTACCAGCTCTTCAAGGATAAAAGAAAACACAGTCTCTTCAACAAAGGTGCAACAGCTGGGGACATTTTCCATGACACAAAAGAAAAAAAATCGAAGCCAAAAACCACCAAAGAAAAAGGAAAAAATAGAAGAAAAAGAAATAGACAAAAAACTGCTTGACCATAAATATGGAGTGGCCACAGCGCTGTCGAGGTGAGCAACAGTGGAGACTGTGCAGATCAAAGCTCAGCTTCAAGTTGGAAAAGCAACACCGCCATCTCCAAGGCACAGAGGAGGTGGCAGGGTACAAGGAGCTCCTGTTGCTGGACTAATATCTGAAAACAAATTATGTCATTTGGAAATACAAGCTCTGTATGCTTCATCAAGAACAACAGCTACAAATACTATTTAAACCCTTTTCTTCTCCCTTTTCATTTTTTGTTGCCCAGTGTATGTAGGAAAAGGAGTGAGGCCAGCTGGACGGGACAAGAAACCTGTGTCCAGACATTGCTCAAAGAGCAAATCTTCAACAAACCTTTCCAGACCCTGCCTTATAATCGGCTAACACCAGTCTTTGGGAACATTTGTTCACTTCCACATTGTTCTCATGCTCGCTTAAAAGAAAAAAAAAAGTAATAAAAATGAACTAGTTAATTTTTTTCTACCTATCTCCCATAAACATCCAGATTACTTCCTCTAACAGACAGAACTGTTTCCACACAATCAATAGTGGGTTTCAGTTGCACATGGTACTATCTGTGTAGGCGGGAAGAGTTTGGCAAAAGGTGGCAACATCACGCACAGCCTGTCTGATGTATGGAAAGCTATACATCCCTGAAAAGCCATAAGGCGGATTCCCTTTGCTCAGCTGAATCAGCATGCAAATTTCACTTAGCTGAATGAGGCAACGGCACAGGCAGGGTGTATCACTTCAGATTTCGGGACAGAACAACATCTGGATAAAGCCATCCTGGATTAGTCTGCTACCAGGCAGACTGCAGCACAGATACCTTGCACGATGGGATGCTGATATTTGCATACTGCATGGGAAGCCAGCTAGTGCCCTGTTTGCACAGGAGATGGAAGGAATAATCCTGCCTCACTCCGAAAATTACATTCCTTATCCTAACTACAGAGAAAGAGTGAAGCCTCACACTAATATTATTATTAGGTTCTTGGATGCACTCACTTGAAAAAAGAAAACAGTTGCACTAAAAGATACACATTTGCTCTGCTGGTCACTCATTTGCAATCCTGCTTCCATACCACAAATAACCACTTTGTGCTTTCTGGGCCGTGTTATCTCCACAGCTACACACATATATGCTAATGCACCTGCAAAGGCATGGCAGGTGAGCATCCCAAATCCTCCTGTTAAATGAATAGAATACAGAAGAGGTATCTGAGAAACAAAACATATTTAAAAAGCACCGAAAACTGGGCAGAACTGAAGTGTTTGGCCACATCAAAAACATAATTTCCCAAATGGCCAGGTTCATTCCAAAACAGACAAAACCAATCACTAACTTTGACATGTGGATGTGTCAAAAAGCAGAAGATAGCCACATTGTTCTTCACATTCAAGAACCTCTATTTATTATTTTATTATTATTTTAATGCAGAAGCAGTGCTTATTATTTGGCTGAATGAGCTGAAGTGAGACTCCCCGGGCAGCTGCTGACATAATGAATGATTGTGTAGTGAAGCCCAGAATGTGAATGATGAAGAATTTTGAAAGGCTCTGGAATTTGTGAATAACAAAAGTAGCTACAGTACCCAAAATCTCACCATTTGTTCTCAGCAACAAAGGAGGACTCAAAGGCCTTTGTTTAACAAAATGATTCAAAAACAGGATAGGAAAGGAATTAGGGGTTATCTCTACTGGCATAATACAGCAAGCAAATTGTGTCCCCAAGTAGGAAGAGTTAAAAATGCATTCTGTGAACATATTGTTAACAGAATTACTATGGTACTGTTTCTTTTATCCCTTTTCCAGTACTGTTACCATGTTTCCTGTGTCAGTAATTCTCAAGGTCTTAGGGCATTTCAACCCAGACTCTGCCAAAGGGGGGTTGCTTATTCCACAGGAGACTTTGGTCCTCCAGTGTGTAAAGGAGAAGTATCTGACATACAACCCCGTTCCTCTCAGGGTTTCCAGCATGATGCCTCAGCATATCTCTACACAAGTATTAACAATACTGTACTTCTTCACCAGTATTAAAAATAAGCACAATTACAATTATCTTAAATAAATACTTAATTCGAATTAAACAAAAAAGACCCCACCAACCAAAAAACAAGCAAACAACAAAAAAAAAAACCATCAAAGCATCACAATGTTAATGGTGTCCAGTATGGGACAAGAGCTTGATGGTGCAAGGCACTGGATGCTCTAAAGCAGCTTCCTTTCCCCTCAAGGGAGAAGAAGCATTTCAGCTTTGGAGCACTTACTGTGGGGAATATGTAGGAGCTCGCTAAAAGACAATTGAACCTGATGAAGATTCATGCTACACTGACCAGTGCTATCCAAACAAATATAAATTCAATTAAAAGACTCTGTTGTGTGAGCAATAAACTGCGAAGTGTTCTGGATCAAGGAATGGAAAGCCAGCTCACCCGTGAAGGTTGTCAGGCATGAGGAATTAAGACAGCAGACACAAGCAATGCTGATGCTGAAACCAAAGGCAGGCACCATAAATCAGAAGGATGGCACTCCTGGGCAAGGGGAGGAGGGAGCAACACGCACTAAGGGATGCATACAGCTCTGCTCCCTCCTCTTCATGTTTGGGTACACCAGCTGTGGAGCTGGCAAGGGTTTAACCTCCTGCAGGCTCCAGTGCCCACTGGATGTGCTCTGCCAAAACCCTGGCCATGATACACACTTATAGGGGTAACATCAAGGACTCCTGCACAGGAAGATTACATTGGTTATCTTTCCTTGCATCTAGGCATTCATATTTTTAAACCATGCACTTCCTATGCAGCAGCCAAAGTCAATAGTACCTGTGGTGTCTCTTTTACCAATTGCTATAATGCTGTAGCTGCAAGCAGTGCAATAAAACCTGCTTGTGCTACACTGACTGCCTCCAGTCGATGTGAATTTGGCAATCCTTTCAAAGGAACCAGGCTTTCACCTTCGGATGCTACTCAAACCTAGAAAAAAAGTCGCCCTGACATTAATTTTTATAGGTGCCTCATCAGCTCATCCTGTCTCTCCAAGAAAAAACAGATTAGACAACAATAAAAATACAGCAGAAACCCATGGCTCAAGAGCATCTTCAGCTCCTGGCCTCCTTCAGCCCCCTGGGCAGTACTCAGAGAACAAGAGGGATACATCAGCATAGTTTTCTAAAGAATTCAGTGCACCTTTGCTGATACTGGGTGCTACATATAATTGCTGCATTTTTTTTTTTTTAATGAATGGTGAAATCAGTACTGAATATTCCAATTCCAGGAGCTGCACTAGAATTGAAAAAAAAAAAAAGAAAACCAAAAAAAACCCACGTGATTCATGGTAAAAAAGATAACAAGATATGACAGCCATATTGAGAAGTTGCCTAGAGAACATAAGGTGAAGAAAATCCACTATCAAATTGTCATGCCCAACATGAAATAAAGCCCATACAAAACAATGCAGGGCTGAAGAGGCTGGAGATGTATGTTTTCTGAGTAGTGACATCTCCTGAAACACTGCTTAACACCTGTTATTAATCCTGCTGCCTTGGCACATTTACACCATTACTTCTTTCATCTCAGCTACAAATTCAAAGGATCACACCTGAGCCTGGCATTAACCTATGGAAGCACCACAGCCACAGTTAACCCATCCTGCATGCTCAAAGGAAAGCCTGCTATCTAATTCCATTCTTGTGAGGATTGACTGACATGGACTCCACTTACGCCAGCAAAGCAAAGCCAGTTTATTACACAGTTTACCGGTATTGTTAGGTCACTACATTCATACAAAATTTTCCACTCTGACCCCTTTGTCCCAGTCCCCTTTAGAAACACAATCTTCTGATTTTTCTTCTTACACTAGCAATGTCTTTTGTTACCTCTTTTGCCAGTAAAGTCCTTGTTGCATCTTGTCCTTCGTCAAAGCAGTAAACGTCAGAGGGTCAGAGTGACCAGACGTGGTATCTTCACTTCTGTTCTTGCCTTGAGTTTACTCTCCCTTGGCTTTCACTGTACGAGGGCCAAATGGTCTGTGATGCTACCCAGTTCAGCTTCTGTAGCTGTCTGATCTCCAACACATTCTTTTTAAGAAAACTCCTAATTCCAGTCCCAAACCTATCATCCTTCACTGTGAACCTGACTTTAGCCTTTTGCCTTCACAAATGGTAATTGACGGACAAAGATATATGGCATAGCAGTGACTGTATTTTAGCTGCTCATTTCCATTCACAAATGGTAACTGACGGACAAAGATATATGGCGTAGCAGTGACTGTATTTTAGCTGCTCATTTCTATTTTCTTAATATATTAAGCCTCCACAAAAGCAGTGGAGGAACAAAGTTTTCACTATTTGCTTTCTAAAATTTCCAGAATGGTAAATAAGCACACCAGAAGTTACGAAAAGTCAAGAACCTGACAGAAAGTAAACCACTAAAACATGGCAGAAGATGCTCCCAAACAGAGCTGGTCCTCCCAGCTCAAAATTCTCCATTTATTACTGATTTTTTGCACTGGGCATCACTTGCTCCACACCACCCTTTTAAGCTCTTACCAAAATTCAGCAGAGATTTCATCATGCTGAAGCAAAAACATCTCTCCACTTGGTTCTGCCACATCAAAAACAAAGACCCTAATAGCTCATCCAACAAAAGTGTCACAGCCTTCAAACTATGACTGCCTTTGAAGCCCCGATATCCTCCAAAGAAATGTTGCATAGGAAGAAAGCAGTGGAACCACACACACGCTCTTGGGAAGTGGTTCTGCTCTTACCATGTCAGCACCTTCACCATCCCATCTGCATAGTGACCCCAACAAGAAGCTTGAGTGCCTGTCCCAAAGAGCGTCCCACCAACAAGACACAGAGGAATGTAACAGAGCCAGCAGAAGCTTGGGGAAAGATCAAGCAGAATTGGGTGCTGGTGACAGCAGTCCATCCTTGGGCAGGAATGCTCATGTGCCTCTTTTCCCAGCATCACCCTGCCAACATACAAAAACTGGGTTTAGCCCCCGAATTTTTCAGCTGCTTCTGATCTCAGTGAACATTAATGTGTGGACAATAGGCTTAGCCCCTATGTCCCCACTGGTGTGCCCTGTGCATGACCTTTAATTGACAAAGGACACAATGGGAGACAAGGGCCAATTCAGAGCCGCTCCTGCCAGCCATGTCACTTCTTATTTACTCTTGCCAAAGCACAAGCACCACTTGTCTGGGGACCACAAAAAAGGAAAAAAAAAAAACTCAAAACACTTATGAATTTACTTTGTTTGAGCTCCATAGGAAGATGTGAAAGATTTGGGCAAAACAAAGCTCCCAAATTGATCTTACTGCAGTGCACAAGCAGTCCCCACAGGGCAGAGGGGGAAAAAGATACTCAGCAGGAAGGAATACTCTGGCATATATTTTATTTCTCCAAGATATCTAAGGATGGTATTCTTACCT